GAGAGAGAGAGAGAGAGAGAGAGAGAGAGAGAGAGAGATCTGCAATACACAACTTATTCATTCCTATATATTATTTTACACGCAAGGAGATAGAATACATACCTGCTCATTTTGTGGATTATTAGTATCATCCATTTTCTCATCCATGTCTTCCAGATTATCTGAAACATCCATTTTGTCTTCTTGCGTTATACTATGATCATTAATAGTCTTGCCTTCATCTTTCAATATATCACATGTTCTGTCAATCTGATCAGAAGTTACATGTGTTGACTCTTCAACTTCAGGAATGTCTGCATGATCCTTAACATTATACATATCCTCTACATGTTCAATATTCTCTTTCTCAACTAAATTCTTATCCTCAACATCTTCCTCAACATTATCATCTTGCACTTTGTCAATATCTACATTCTCCTTAATTTCTGTCTTTTCTTCCAGTTTTGTAGTATCTTTTGTTTCGTCAACCAGTGCCCTCGACGATGGTTTCTGAACTTTGTTAATCTTATCTACATTAGATGTCGCTGTTCCATGTTCTCCCTGAGTTCTAGAGAACTGATCTACATGTTCAATTGTACTAGATTTCTCAGACGGTTCTGTTGCAGGTACTTGGGAAACATTTGTCTCACACCTATTGCCTTCCAAAACATCAATATGCTTTGCTTCCTCGCCCCGAGTTTTCCCAGACGGCGTCTGCACGTGAATCTCATTCTGAACAACATCTGATGCAATGTCCTTCTGTTCTTCTCTGTACTTCTCAGGGGATAATTTTGATATTTTCTCTTGTTGTACTACAGGTTCTTCGGAGGTAGACTCTGATATTGTCGCTAATACCTCGCGTGCCTTCTCAACATACTGAGATTTGTTCGGAGAGGATTGCTTCAAAGAATATGGAGTTGTAGCAGTCCTTGATGCATTTCTAGTAGAAATTTTTGTTGGAGTCACCATCGAAGAGCTTCTAGATGCTCTGCTAGGTGTCCTCGGTGGCTGCGAAGATCGTGTAGATTCTGCAACTTTTTCAGGTGCTTCTTTTGAAGCTGTCTCCTCTATATTTTCTGTGTGTAAAGCTGACTTGTCTTGATCATCTATAAGAAATATATTGGCATACTTGAGTTTTGCCTTATCCAGTAATAAATGTATAATATATGATGTAATGATTTATGTGAAACAGGAAACAATATATAAAATACATATAACATTTAAATACATATAAATACATATAATATATATAACAATGCAGTATAAAATATCTTACATATATTATAATATATGCTAAATTCTTGCTTTGTCATTAACAACACCTAGCGCAATGGATAGAATATAAAGAAAATAAACTATAGATATTTGTTCTTAGGAAACTTCTGAAGTAGTACAATAAGTTAAAATGGAACAAGTGTACTTTTTTTCATTCAGATTTATTGCATTAGTATATACTAGTTTAGAGATTCTTGAGAACGAACAGACCTAATGTAGAGTATAAAGGGAAAATAGAACATTGAAATGTTGCGGTTGAATATAAACAAGTAGAAAGAACATTGCATTGAGTTATGTTTAAACGTAGAAACAAAGTCACATAATTCGACATAGCATTATCAAAATACTCCGATGGCGACCTGCGTTTCACGTTAGGAGACGTGCATGTGGTGATGAAGTGCCGCGGTTATCATACAGGAATCTCGTCGTCGCATAGCATGATGTCGAGATCGATCCTGTCCGCGGGCCAGTCGATTAATACGCGCGATCGTGACGCTTCAGTCTAGGCGCGGGACACTTGTCGGTGTGACAGGTGCGACTTACGCTTCTGGATCTCTTCCTCCAGCGCCTTGCGTAGCCTCTCGACGAGCACTGGCTTGTTGCCCTTGACGTCGAGGCCGCGGTCCCCAAGTGCCGCTCGCAGTTCCACCACCTTCAGCTTAGCTGGATCCATGGTGCACGCGTGATACAGCCCGTTAGTCAGACAGGATCATGCAATCCCGTGGCTTTCCGTGATAGAGAAGGTCTTCACAAAACACCCATATACACGCGCCACTGACCCGCGCTGCATACACAATATGGCGGGACGGTGGCGACAACCCGTTACGTAGCGCGCTACGCGCCCGTTGGCTGGCGTCGTGATCGTTTCGAACCGACGCCGGCAGCGTGGCCAATCGTGCTCGCTGTCTCATTCGCAGCGGTATTCGACACGCTCGCAGATTGGCCCTTGTCAAGGCGGGATATCTGTCTATTGGCTTATATGAGCGCCGTACTTACCAATTTCAAAGAGGCGCTCGCGTTAAATCCTGATCACTGAAATATATATAAGCAGAAAGGCGCGCTGCCGCTATTGTATCCATAGTAAAAAGCGATATAAGAGAAAGGAAAGGATGCTGGAGTGTACCTTTATCTTTATATAAACTGCTGTGTTATGAGTAGTAGGGGGATGAAGTAGTCGAGTGGGGATGAGAAAATTGCTAGACAAAGGCTATTCATAGGTCTTTATTTTTAACTGTTTTTTTTTTATCAAAGAAAATACGTCTGCAAATTAATCGCAAGATTTATAAGCCACATTTAAGAATATTTATATCAATAAAAGAGATTTCGGCAGATTGTTAATTCTTTAGATAGTATACGAATCGTTTTATTGGCTACGAAGCATCTGAACATGAAATGATCTTATGGCTCCTGTACACAGGACGCGGCAAGCATTAACACGTCCTGTATGCAGGAACCATTAGGGATTCAAAGGAAACAGGGAGTCCAAATTTGCTTTTGTAAAAATGGAACGCTAGTTTGTAGTGTCACCTACGCTTGGCCCCGGATGTGATCAAACTAAACGGATGACGTCATGCAAAATGAGGATACGCGCCACACATTCTGTATACGGTTGCATGTATGCATGTGTGCATATATATAGGGTGCATTTAAATTGAGACACCCAATATATAAAAAATAATACAAATAAAAAAATGTTTTAGACAAAAATAGTAGGGTTTCAAGAAGAACGTGTGATAATGCTATTAGCTTGAGCTTATATAGTGAACATGTCAAGATGTTTTAAAGGTTAGTTCAAATTTTTTAAGTTTTTTTTTAGCACAAATCGATTCATAGGGCGGTATTCATAATCAGATCTTATATTTAAGACCGTCTTAAGTTTATTTTGAGATGATGTACGAATCATTTCATTGGCTACGGAGTATTTGAAGCTGAACTTAAGCAATCTTAAATATAAGACGCGACTATGAATACCGGTCTTATGGCTCCTGCACACAGGACGCGGTAATGCTTGCCGCGTGGCGGAAGTTCGCACGACAGCCAATCAATATGCTGCTTTCCGTAATAACCTAGCTCTTACGGAAAAACAACATATTGATTGGCTGTCGTGCGAACTTCCGCCGCGCGGCAAACATTACCGCATTCTGTGTGCAGGAGCCACATGTTGTTTTTTTGTGCAAGTGTTGCCGCGTTCTGTGTGCAGGAGCCATTAGTCATGTGGAATAACACAACTTTTAATTTATGCGTTTTTGTGAAAACGAAATCAGTAACAACTACCCTTATAGTATGTTCGACTGGCTCTGGGTTAATCACTCCGAGAGCGATTAATGACGTCTAAATCTCTATTAACCAATCATAAAACTTATAAGTACTTGTTCGACCAATAAACGTAGGCTGAATAACCCAGAGTGGGATAACCCAGAGCCAGTCGAACATGCTATTAATATAGTCATAAAATGTCTCAAGACGAAATAGGTACAGTCTGAAAAATGTTATGTGCAATCAAGCATTTATATTTATTATACATTATTTTGTTCAAGTAAATTTAATTTATTTGCAGTTAGCATCGACATTCTCTTGGAGTTTTTGGAAGTAGCGTTTCATCATGTATTATTCTTTCGCAAAATCTATCCTGAAAAAATATTCAGTAAAAGAAAAATATATGGAATTACAGTTCACATGTCAGAACATCCAGAACTAAATGAGTATCTTTCCAATGTTTTAAATGCAATCAGAGAATTGATAAAGGAAGATGAAAATAGTGTTAAAGCAATTAATCTTACCTTTTATAATGAGAAGAAATTACCAATAGAAAGATTTGTCTTTGATATAGTTAAACTGCAAGCAGAGCTCACAGAGTATGTTGAGCAGCTTATTGCAATTGATAATATATGACCTTGATTTTGAAGTTCTTGTTAATCACTTTTTATTTTAAGGAAGGATCCTTATTATTTAAAGACAGAAGAAGCTCTGAGAACGATTTGTCTCAAATTATCCATGTGTGATACATACTTGAAACCTTTACCAGATGGTTCAACTTTTTCTATAGAAATTCAAACATATGAAACTGCACATATTACTTTGAGCGAGAATCCAAAATGTGAAGACTTTCCATGGATTGTGGAAGATGGTGCAATAGAAATGGTCAACAAAAATCTACTACCACTAAAAGACATTAAAACTGATTGTTTGAATTTACAGATGTATGTGATTGAAGATACAGAGAACAAAAAGTGAGGTTTAAGTGATATTTTCTGTATAATAGGTCTTTTTTTATATTTTTATTTTGTATAAAATAAAATAAATGCATTTACATAATAAATGCAGTTGTTAAACTTGTCCCATTAGTTTAGATATAAATTCTTTATCTCTATTCCATAATATACTACAAATAGCATTTAATTGATAAGAACAATCAAACATTTCAGATCTTACTAATGATTTACTAGCATCAATTCTGATCACCTTAACTTTCCATTTATCTTCAAATTCTTTGATTTGTGTATCATCTATGGCAGAACTCGACCAAGGTTTAAACCTGGGAAATATTGAATTAAGATTATTATAATGTCTTATTTTATATAATTATTGTAGAATTAATCATATTACTTTGTGCCAATTACTATATTTGCTGGTTTCTCTTTAATAGCAGCCATAGTATTCATTAAATAGGGAATATCATTGAAGCTTGATGTATCATTGAAAGAAAAAACAGAGCACATTGCATCCACTTTATCCTTGCATGCCTGGTAGAATTATTTTTATATTATTTTCCTGTTAGATTAATCACAGCTATTTTTATGCAGAGGAATCTGTATAAGTTACTTTTTACATACTGGTAAGATATGATTATATTTTTTTATGCTACTTTCTGATGTATCCCAGAATTGTAACTTAAATAAAACGACCTTATCCCAGATCTTTACAGGCCAAAAGACATTAGTCTTTCTTATGCCATTAGTTTCTGTGTAATTGTTGGATTCCAGAGTGCCTGCAAGTCTCGCTACTATTGAAGTTTTTCCCACACCAGATCTGCCTATCATGAAGATTTTATAAGTAACCTCTTCAATGGAAGAAGGTAACGATGGCCTCTCCAAAATGCCTGCAGTTGAAAGTAATTCTTTAAGTATATCGCAAAATGAAACAATATATGATTTTGTTTATTGTACACAAGGAAAATATAGTACCATAGAATCTTCGCTTTTTTGAAGAATTCACATAAAAATGATGAACCAGCGATTCTCCTTCTGCTGAAGCTAACCAATTCATATTAATCGCATTCATGTCTTGTCATTTTCACCACGGAATTTAAAAATAATAAAATACATATGTCTTCTTTGGCTATGTTTGTTTTGGACGCTCATGCGTTGTAAGCGTCATCTCTCTCTTTCTCTCTCTCTCTCTTTATGGTTTCAGGCACTTTCAGTAGCCTCTTCACCTCACTTCTAATGGATATACCTTTTGTATGAATTTCAAGGTTTATAGGTTTAGGTCTGAGGATTTTTAAAAATGAAGGAGTTATGGCTCCTACACATAGGACGCGGTAATGCTTGCGCGTGGCGGAAGTTCGCGTAACAGCCAATCAATATGGTGCTTTCCGTAATAACCTTCTAGCTCTTACGGAAAAACAACATATTGATTGGCTGTCGCGTCATTATAAGCGTCATTTTGGCTGCGTTCGTTTTGGTGCTTACAATGCTCTGAGCATCATTTCATCCTTGTTTCTATCAAATAGTATGTTCGACTGGCTCTGGGTTAACCTATTCTGGGTTATTCAGTCTATGTTTATTGGTCGAACAAGTATTTATAAGCTTCATGATTGGCTAGTAGAGACTCATGACGTCATTAATCGCTCTCGGAGCGATTAACCCAGGGCCAGTCAAACACGCTAAAATACTAAACAAGGACAAATAATGCTTACACGCGCTATAAGCGTCAAAACGAACGCAGTGCCTGGTTGCTTTCCAACAAGAGACACAAGTCGACACAAGTATCATCTTATCTTTGGATGCTTCCCAATTGCTGAACACATCTTGACACACACGTACACAAAACCAGTTTATTGGCCACATATTATCTTGTAAGATCTTATTATCTTATTAAAATATCTTGTAAGATAATATGCAACTAATAAACTGGTTTTGTCTAACACAGTGTACGCAACTGGAAAGCACCCTTTGTTACTCACTAAGGGTGTTTTCCAATTGCAATATCCCTAGATACTTTCATGCACACGGCGACACAAGTTGTATTCCAATTGTCATAATCGTCGACACAACGCTACACATCCGTATTCAGCTCGAGGGCTACTAGTCGGCTATGTAAACTAGTGTTTTCTAGTGAAAATTAAAGTTAATTAGCGTAGCGGCTTGAAAAGAGACTGATATTTGCGACGTGAAGTGGATATCTTTTTTATTATTTAGATTTTATTATTTCTTATTATTAAAAAATACGAAAATATAAGCATAGTTGAAAAATAACCCTAACCTTATCCGACATATATACACATTAGTACACACTTTGTTCCAATTGAATCGTGCACAACGTTACACTTTGTGCATTTCTGCGTACATATGTATCAAGATGTGTTACGCAATTGCACGTGAAAGCACCATAAATGTGGAACAAAGATAGAATGATGTTTGTGTCGACTTGTGTCTCTTGTTGGAAAGCAATCTCTATCTTTCTTCCGTATGTAAAGCCCTATGTCCAATGCCAGGAAACAGGCAATAGGAATAGGCATTAGCCAATAGAAATAGAGAATAGAAATAATTGACCAGTTCTTTGATTATGGGTGCTTTCCATTTAATAACACAAGTTGACACAAGCATCATCCTATCTTATAGCATGTTCGACTGGCTCTGGGTTAACCCACTCTGGGTAATGACTCCTGCACATAGAACGCAATAAAGCTTGCCGCGCGGCATTTATCACGTCCTGTATGCTGAAGCTATTATTCAGCCTACGTTTATTGGACGAGCAAGTACTTATGAGATTTATGATTGGCTAGTAGATACTTATGACGTCATTAATCGGTCTCGGAGCGATAACTTAGGACCAATCGAATACGCTATTAGTAAAACCGGGCATTAAATATTTTATACATGTATATTACGTTTTTTACATATTTTACGTAATATAGTTGTGTTTGGAAACGTCACCCAAGTGTACCCGTTACGTTGGAGTGAGCGAGATACAAGAGTGAGATAAAAAGAGAGGAAAAGTACTCGAGTGACGTTTCCGAACGCAGCCATACATGTATATTACGTATAATGTAAAAAACCCTAGAATTTGTCAAATGTCCCAACCCTGATGTAAACCAAGCCAGTATCGATTAATCAAAATTGCTTAAAACTCTCGATTCCTAATAAAATACTTATAAAATTTGAGAGTATCTTTCGGACCTTTGAGATTGAATTTGCAAGGAATATAAAATGAAAGGGAGCAATTGTAAAGAAGAAAATAATATAGTAAATTGATATAAATAAAAATAAAATTGATCATATTGCGTCTGTAGCCGACTTACGATACAAATACTAACATTTGTTATTAAAGTAAGAGAAACCGCAGAAAATCTTATTAGTATTCGAAAAACGATTATATAAATTACATTGTATAATGTATCAGCAATCATATATTAGAAATATAATGATTAGAAATATAATAAATTACGATTTTCATATGAAGATAACATAGATTTTACACCTAATAGTGATTGAATATGATTTATATGTGGAAGAATATTTTAATCACATAATGCAAAATATAAGTTTATTTATTAAAGTAATGCTAATAATGTTTGAAGTAACATAACAAAATTGTATACACAATATATAAAAATAACATTTCTTTATTACATAAAAACATTAACATTATTTGGATTTGTAGTTTACATAAATTTCCCGAAACACGTCTCGACATTTGATTTTAGCTCTGAGCTTTGCGCAGAGCAAAAATATTCCTGACAATTTTCTGTGAAGGCTGTATATCTCCTCGGGTGGTGGGCACAATCGGTGAGTTATTATAGTTGGTACTAAAGCCTGAATCCTGTGTGTAATATATAATTATTATATAAAATATACTCTCGTACACATAAAATTGAGATAAAACAAATCGTACACACCGTTTTGTGACATCTTGTCCACCGAAATCGTAATACTCGTGATTTTTGTCAAACACTTGTCCGAGAATCATAACCGCATCCACATGAGCTTGCTGCATAATCTGTTGACAAGTAGACCTGTATTATTTTCATAAATTTTTAAAACTATAATTATGCTATTTAAGAAAAGTAATATTTCAAGAAATTTAAAATTTATTTAATACAGTTACAAGATACCTTTGATTCATATCCGGTGAGAAATTTAATTTCTCTCGATAATTCTAAAACCTTGTCACGATTTCCCTCGCTCGCGGCATTAATAATTTCAATATACTTGTCCATAAACTCTTTTTTGTAAGTTCTGCATGCTCCAAAATCCAGTAGAATTAACTGCAAAGACGTATTCATTAGAACTCTTAATTAAAACTGCAAATATTCCATGAATTGATTAAAATGCAAATAATTGTTGCAAATGCAAAACCTGTCTTGTATCGAGATTGTAAAAGAAGTTGGACCAATTCGGGTCAGTTTGCATATATCGAAACTCGAATAATTCCTGTAGACTCAGACGCATCAGCAATTCGCTTATATGTTCTCGAATCTTAATGTCCATGTCGACGCACTTATCAACGGGAATGCCGTCAATCATCTCCGTCGTGAATACTCGTTGCGTTGAGAGTTCATCTGGAGATTTAATTGATGTTATATAGAAGCAAGTTTATAATATATTTAAGAGGATATTGAAGTTCGTCTATATACAGGGTGTTCAAAAAGTCCCGGACCGGTGAAATATCTCGAAAACTAAGCATTTTAGAAAAAAATGTTTCAGATAAAAGTTGTGGCGTTTAAAAAGATGTATTTACTGATCACATCAGTTTGACCTTGGGTTGCGTAGCGAAGGTCAGGTCAAGGTCACATTAATTTTTTTAAATGGAA